TATATATATATATATATATAGAGAGAGAGAGAGAGAGAGAGACAAACCGGACGAAAAGTAATTCTTTGTATATAAAAAAAATCGAAAATGTAAAATAAACTTTTTTCATTCATTTTTGTTTCTGTAGCCAAAAGGATATGCACATGCAAATCTTATATATTTACATTTAAGTTTTCGTTCAGTTATACGACGTGTTTTGCAGGATCTCACATACATTCTACGAGACTTCCTCGAGGAGGCTATGTCGCAAGATCAGCCTGAGATCTCCTTAATCGGCGTGGATCTCGATCCGATCCTGATTGAGAAAGCGCGCGAGCGCAATCCGCGCCCGGATCGCGTGACCTTCGAGTGTCTGGACTTTTTGTCTGAGGATTGTGGCGAGATGCTGAGGCGATATCTGACGCAGCTTAATAAAACGCGATTCGACGTGGTGTTCTGCTTCTCGATTACTATGTGGATTCACCTGAATCACGGCGACGACGGCCTGGAGGAGTTTCTGCGAAAGGTCTGCGAGCTGGCGGAAATGATCATTGTTGAGCCGCAGCCTTGGAGATGTTACAAAAACGCTTCGAGACGACTGCGAAGAGCGAAATTGGGAGACTTTCCGCTGCTGAAGGAACTGAAATACACCAGGAATCCGATGAAGCACATAGAAGATATTTTGAGGAGACTGTGCGACTTTCAAAGAGTCACTGTTACTGCAGGCAACGAATGGGGACGCATGCTTTTAATTTATGAAAGGAAACAGGAATCGTAAAAGAATCAGCAAATGCGTTACGTATATATTCAGAATCATAAATTAGTACATAAAATACATTCAACATTATATATCAATTGCAAGTGTACGCCATGCGTATCTAAATATTCATCATAACTGTGTGTATATATATATACTCGTATGTGTGTGTGTGTGTGTTTTGTATTGACATAGCAGTAATAATTTTCCTCATTCAAGTATAGATAACGATAGGTAATTTGTAATAAATAAAGCTCTTTAAATTATAAACGCATGAGGTGTTCACGTGCGTCATCTTTTAGCTGATTATTTTCTTCTTAATGCTTTGTTTATTTTTGAACATTTAAATTCTTATAATTCGAATATTCATACAAATGAAATTTAAACATGTACAAATTTTGATTAACGATATGTTTTATGTGATATTCTCTTTACGTTATATTCCTCTCATATTTTGTTTATTTTTGAGAAAAATTTTCATAATTTAAATCTTTAAATTTAACTCCCCATCAATCAGAGGAGTGAGAATTTTTCATTCTTTGTTCGCAATTTCATTGTAGATTTTTATATTGTTTCAGACGATATAAAAATTTTTAACATACTTGTGAAAGATTTTTTTGTGAAGAACAACGAATTTTTACTATCATAGAAGCTGGATTATATTATACTTTACTTATTTTTTTACTTTAAATTTAGCTATCAGAATTTATTAGGTGATAAATTTAATTCCTGCTGCTTTTTTGTCTTCAAAATTGATTTGTTTTGAAAGGAAGATGAATGAATACCTTAATCAAAGTAATAGTCTGCATTATCTATTATTTTTTCCCATCTCTCCGGCAACAGGGCAATCGCATGACGGTAGAACGGGATGTCTTTCGAGGCGATCCATTCATCTACATTTTTTTACTTCTTCGTAGAACTAAAGAAGTGTGTGTCCATAAGTGCTTTTTACATCGATTGAAAGAGATAATAATCCAACGATGCCAAGTGTGGAGAGTACGCTGGATGCGGTAGGACTTCCCATTCAAGTTCTAGAAGTGTGCTTCACACTTTTCACAACATACAATCGAGCGTTATCATCAAAATGATTTTGCATCGATTGTTGACTGGTCTTTTTTGCATCAACTTGTTACTCAGTTGGTATAATTGCCGTTAGCGATCAGCTGTAATAGTTTCATTTGGACGCAATAGTTTGTAATACAACACACCCTCCTGGTCCCACTAAATGCAGAAGCAAGATCTGCTTAGATCTGCGAATATTCTTTTTCGGCATTAAAGTGGATGGTTGGCCGGGACAAGAATTAAGTTTATCACCTAACACATACAAAGAAAATCGAAACAATGGGCGCATTCAGCAACTCAACAGGTTTGTTCGCGTCGCATGCTTCAACATGCTCCAATATGCTCCTATCATAGCTCCTACTCACTCCAATGTATTAATTAGAGTGAGTAGGAGTTATGGTAGGAACATGTTGGAGCATGTTGGA